AGTGTCAAAGTTTTCGCCAAAGTTTTTCAAAGTGTCAAAGTTTTCATCAAAGTTTTTCAAAGTGTCAAAGTTTTCGTCAAAGTTTTTCAAAGTGTCAAAGTTTTCGTCATAGTTTTTCAAAGTGTCAAAGTTTTCGCCAAAGTTTTCAAAGTGTCAAAGTTTTCGCCAAAGTTTTTCAAAGTGTCAAAGTTTTAAAGAAACTTTTTCACAGTTTTAAAGCATCCAAGTTTTCGATAAAGTTTTTGGAAGTATCCAAGTTTTCGATAAAGTTTTTCGAAGTATCCAAGTTTCGATAAAGTTTTTCAAAGTATCGGACTTTGCGATAAAGTTTTTTGAAGTATCAAAGTTTTCGATAAAGTTTTTCAAAGTGTCAAAGTTTTCGTCAAAGTTTTGCAAAGTGTCAAAGTTTTCGCCAAAGTTTTTCAAAGTGTCAAAGTTTTCGCCAAAGTTTTTCAAAGTGTCAAAGTTTTCGCCAAAGTTTTTCAAAGTGTCAAAGTATTTGTCTAAGTTTTTCAAAGTGTCAAAGTTTTCGCCAAAGTTTTTCAAAGTGTCAAAGTTTTCACCAAAGTTTTTCAAAGTGTCAAAGTTATCACTATAGTAAATCAAAGTTTTCAAAGTGTCAAAGTTATCACTATAGTTAACTATAGTTAACTATAGTTAACTATAGTATTTTTTTGTTGGGGATAAATTGATGGTGGTCAAACTAATGATTCATTGCATCCCAAAGTCAGGGATATATATATAAATAAAGAAAAAACTAATATACAGTACTATAAGGATACAATTTATGTGAGTTTATGTTACTTCATTCGGGCCCGTCTCTGTTTTTCTCGTCTGATGCCTTGGAATAACTTTGCTATTATTGAGTCATGCAAATGTTTGAATGAATGTTGTATATAAATTTCCAGAAAGGAAATTCTGTTACATAAAGGAACTAGTGTTGAAAATGAATGAATAAATAAACTTCATATTTCTTCTAACATCTTATTTTTTACGTTTAGACATCATTCATTAACAATAACTGAAAACATAATTGAAGGATACAATTCAGGCCAGCCGCTGTCCATTCCTCAACATATTCACTTTTTTGCATTAATAGTTACCAAAACATACCTGGAAATAACAAGAGAGATTCCTACTTTCAACTTTCAGTAATGCATATATATAATTCTTACCTGATGCAGTTTCCTAGTGCTAATTAGAGAGATTCTACTACTGACACATATCACTTCTGTCTACCACATCCCTGTCCACAAATACAAACTGTCTAATTGAAACTGTTCTCTCCTCATATATAATCATATTGTGAGCCAATTTGCCTCGGCAATGTTTAGATACTTCTCTTGCATTAACAATCACCTTGCCAGCAAGCATTGTACGATTACATCTATTCTTCACCACTGCCCTAACTCCAGACATTGTTTTCATGACTTGTCTCGTAATAGTTTCGACAAATATTTCCTTGCCTATTGCTGAGGTAACTAAAAGTAGTCTTACATTTATACTTAGCAGAGCATCCATCAGTCCACTGATAAATGGAGTCCAATTTCTGTTGTTCCTCCATGATGGCTAAGCTTCGGTCCACAAAGAATTTGACTAAAGTTAAGTCATGTTTATGTCAGTACGCGGGTTTGTTAAGGCAGCACATGGATCAGAATTCGGCGAATTAACACTTTTTTATAATAATGTACCAGTAATAAATCGGAAAAGTCAAGGATAAAACTTTTGCTATAATTATGCATTCTATAGACTTCAATGGGACTTATACTACAGGAGGCACTTCACCACGACGTAACCACGTGACGTCTATAATTAGAAAATATGCCTTAATGAAAAAATGAAAAGTTTAACACAACCCCGTGGATAATTAGTTTCAATTTGTAATAATAGTTATCTAATAACATCTTTGTACCATGAAAAGTACTGCTAGAACCCTACTGTCCTTTTATAGAAATAATTATTCAACAATTTCGGACGAAACCTTCCCAAAATTTTCACATTTTGTTCATAACACCGAAAAAAATGCATCAATTTCCGTAAACCATAGCAGCACTTTCCAAAAACAAAAGAATAAGAACTTTAGATAGAAACAAAAATTAAGTTTCAAGGTATGCAGCGTAGTGTTGAACTTTTGCATTTTTTTGTTACGAACGACAGAGGAAAGGCTTATCGTCAAGTAAACACCCTCCCTGCTTTACTTTTACAAAGAAATTGCAGAATTATATCACCATACCTTATTCAAAAGCTTTATTCACACAAGAATCACACATGATATTTATTCTAAATGCTTTTGATTTCCTATTTCTTGTGTTTGCTTACATCAATTCTCGTTACGTTTCACTTTCACTCTGCTACTCCATGATCAACAGTTATGATGTCACGGGTTTGGTTATTAACCCCTGTGATAACTACAGAGGCCCTGGAACGACAAAATTCCGTTTATATTATGCCTCTACATATTTTGATTCATTTTTACGACCTCAAATCAATCTAAGATATCGATTTTAAGAAATTGTTATCTCTAAACTTCACGTCATATAGCTTACTATGACGTCATATCATATAGGCAAGTAGAATATTTGGTTGTAACCTTAACCTACTTGCGTATAGATATAAATTATTGAATGTGTGGAAAGGTGCTCTATGTTTCCTACTTTCTGCCTATAGTAACACATGACGTGATGAATTGTTTCCACTCGGGACTTCATTCTGGAATGAGCATTTATAATTTTTGGAAAAATCCATAACCATCATTAGTTCGTTTGTTTTAAGATAAAACTTACATACACTCTTCTGTCTTTGCCGCCATATAGAGTATTCTTTCGGTGCAATCTTAAAGTCGCCATCAAATATGCTGAATGTGGTTGTTTTAGGCTATCAACCTTCGTATACTCCAATTTATGCCAATCTGTTGTGATATTCTTTTTTGGAACAAAGGGCTACTGCAAGATTTAGGCACTCTCTTATTTTGTATGTAACGGTAATTGCACAATCTTTTCAGACAATTATTTCTATGATGTTCACCTTTTGAGACCTTGCACAATGTTTCCTCTGTTAATGTTGTCTCATCTGCCTTTTTCAGAAGCTTGAATATTGTACTGTTTCTTCATTAAAGCCTTCAGAGCTTCTTCTTATAAAGCAAGGTTACGACATATTTCAAAATGGCACAAAGAGGTTTTTCGACTTTTTCCCGAAATTTGCTCCACATTTTTTGATTGAAATTATTTAAATGTGAAAAAAATGTCTTTGTTTTGAGACTTAAGCTATTGATTCTTCTCTGCTTTCTGGATAGATGATTGATAATATTCAAATTATATTAATTTTGTTTATATGGTGGCGTATGGAAATATAGTCCTTACTGCGTCTCCAAATTATTATTATTATTATTATACACAATTTATAAAGCGCTAAATATAATATAAAATTACTCTAAAGCGCTGTACATAAAATATACTGAAAGGAAAAAGAAACGCATAATAGCATAATAGCGAAATATATCTAACTATATGGCCGAAAATTATGAAAATTGGTCAAATGTGTATTTTGATTACTGTGCACTAAAATTGCTGGTCAAAATTACTCAACCATGAAATGTATGGCGTCATGTAGGGGAAATGATGAAAAGCCAAAAACACGTGCATGTTGATGATGACAATTTTATGATCACATTTTGTGGTGCTTATCGATGCATTGGAGTTATAGACATCGTTTTCCGCATTTGCAATCAGTATAAATTTCATGCAATCATGGCATGGCTGACGGAAGTTACACTGGTTCCAGTAATTGAATTGCGTAAGTGAATAAAAAGGCAACAAGATGTTGTTGTGCAGTTTGTTTTAAACTTTTTAGCAAAAAAAGGTTTTTCAGTTGTCAGAGAGTAAATTAAAAGGTTTCCAACCAACCATGGCGGTGACGTTGACGCGTAACAACGTCACATCAAGACAGGGCTTTTCATCATGTCACCTCGGTTGTTGTCAAGGTATTATCAATGAAACCGATATTTATACAGCAAACTATCATACCAATATTTTCACCCTAAAATTGACAGAAATTCTCTGCTCTGATTTGGTCCGCGAGCTTGGCAACTTTTACGTCGATTTTACTCTGACGCACGCACGTACGCGTCGTGTGCGTAATGTTTTTAGCATGTTCACACTGGGAAAATGTAGCCAGTGTTTGTCGAGACTTTCTCACAAACATTCACGTTTACCAAACCAGCTGGATTCGGTAAATTCTATCCTAAAATGAAAATTCGTGGCACTCATTTGGCGGGGGGGATTTGTTGGCTTTGGAATGATACAGCTTCTATCAACCATTAAGACTATTGTCGGAAGAGTTGAATAATAATCAAATGATAAAGATAAATACTCTGGTGAACTCAATGCACAGGAAAATCAAGGCTGTTACCAATGTCCAAGGGAGATGATGAGAGTTTTTATTTTAATTTTAGGGAGTATTGACATATCAATTTCAATAACTCAGGAATTATCAGTCAAAGTCACACAAGATTTCGGCAACTTGTAGATTAAAGATGAATTAAAATGTTTGATAACAATACTGGAAAACATTTTCGAAATAATAGTTTTAATTTAATTTAAAGTAAAATATGCGTTTCTTTTTCCTTTCAGTATATAAGCATAAAACATAAAAATTACAAGTACTATAGGACTAAAAATACATGTCAAAGCCGTAAGAATACACATAAATAAACTTTTAAAAGATTACAAATTAAAGCTATAAGAATATACATAAATAAACTTTTAAAAAGATAAGAAATATTTATACATGTTAATTGCTGTAATGTCCTATGTTATAAGATAATTTAAATTTAAAAATTTAAAACAAATAAGAGTAGCTTCTTAGGAATAATCTGGGTATGCAGTAGTAAATAAATAAGTTTTTAATAATTTTTTAAAACGAATAAAATTTCTTTCAAATCTCAAAGTTTGAGGAAGACTGTTCCACAATGTTGCACTAGCCACGTCGAATCGCCTGTCGCCCTATGATTTAGTCCGCGCACGCGACTGAACAAGGAACATGGAGTTCTCTGAGCGTAGAGATCTTCTAGGCGTGTAAACCTGAACCAGTTCTTGTATATATAGTGGTGATGTTCCGTTTAAAGCTTTAAAAGTCTGTAGAAGCAGCTTGTACTGGATTCGATGTTCTACGGGAAGCCAATGTAAGTTGACTAACACAGGTGTTATATGATCATGTTTCTTTGTACGAGTAATTATTCTGGCGGCAGTATCTTGAATCCGTTGAAGTTTTGTTAAGGAACTGGTGCATATACCGTATAGTAAGGCATTGCCATAATCTAGACGGGAGGTAACAAGTGAACATACCAGGGTTTTACACGCGCTCTCTGATATTAAAGGTCGAATGCGTCCAATATTTCGTAGTTGATGGTAACATGACTTGGTAATGTTTCGAATTTGGTTATCCATGTTCAGCACAGAATCAAAGAAAACACCTAAATTTTTCACACATGATGAGACTTTAATTTTATTCCCGTCAAAAATGATGCTAACTTCATTAAAATGATGAATTCTGTGTTTTGGGGCAAATATAATAAAGTCCGTTTTTTCTTGATTTATCTTTAGAAAGTAAGAGCGCATCCAAGAACTTATATCGGAAAGGCAAGTTTGCAAACGAGATGCTACGTCTATCCAGTTGCTAGTAGGTGCTATTGCCATATACAGCTGAGTATCATCTACATAACACTGGAAACTCATGTTGTGTTTTCGGCAAATATCACAAACTGGTTTAGCAAACAGGCTGTAAAGCTTAGGTCCAAGGACCGATCCCTGGGGAACGCCAAATTGTAGATGAAAGTCTCAAGACTCGGATGAACCTATAACAATACGTTGGTGCCGATCACTTAGGTATGATCGTATCCATGACAAGGCCGCACCAGTTATGCCAAACGAAAATTCTAGGCGATTGATAAGAACATTATGATCAATCACATCGAAGGCTGCAGATAAGTCCAGCATTAACAGAACAACACTTGAACCCTTGTCTAGTGCTGATGTTATGTCATGGTGGACTCTCAAGAGAGCGGTCTCCGTTGAGTGATACACACGGTATGCTGACTGCTGTCTATCATGCAGGTGGTTTGACTGTAAATGATCTTCCAGCCTAGAATTTACAACATTTTCCAGGATTTTAGAAATAAATGGAAGGTTCGAGACAGGGCGGTAGTTCTTTAACACCTCTTTGTCTAATCCCTGTTTTTTCAAGAGAGGTCGAACAACAGCATTTTTCAGTGATGTTGGAACAGTTGATTCTGATAATGATTTATTTATAATGGTTGTGATTGTTGGAAGAAGACTGTCAACACAGGATTTCAAGACGGAAGTTGGTATTGGGTCTAACTCACATGATTTAGATGGAGAAGCCATAATGATCTTTCGAACCTCTGCCTCTGATGCTGATGTGAAGCACTCAAGTGATTTGCCCTCAAATCTTATGTCCGCTCTTAGAACATCCATTGAGGTCTGTTCATTTAAGTTTGAAAGATGGTCTCTAATAGTATTGATTTTATTTAGGAAAAAAGTGCCAAAAGTATTTGCAAGGTCCTGTTCACAACCATTAGAAGGAAAAATAGGTTTGGTTTGCTACCTATCAGTGAGTTTGTAAGTTTATATTGTTTTTTCTGGTCGTTTCCTACCTCGTCGATTTTATCTGAATAGTATTTTTTCTTTGTTTCTAGTATTAGCCTGGTTACTTGAATGGATGTGTCTCTGAAAATTTGTCTATGAACAGTCAGGTTTGATTTCCTCATCTGTCTTTCAGCCCGACGTTTTTCTCTTTTTGCCGTCCTTAGATCCTCCATGTACCATGGTGTATTAGGACGAAGGGTGATTGTTCTTGTCTCTTCTGGGACATGTTTGTTTAGGACGGCCCTTAGCTCATGGTCATAGTCAGTGATGAGATTCTTCAATGAGTCGGTTTTATCACTAAGGACTGGCGAAGAGTCAAGGTCAGTCCTGAACTTTTCGATTTCAAGTTTTTTCATCCTTCGAAAAGTTACTGTCTTTCTTTCTTTGGGAGGCTTAGCAACCTGCAGATAAGCTTTGATGGCAAGATGATCACCTGCAGCGTTGCCGTTGCCGGTTATAATAGACCATAATAGACCAGTGAATAAAGTCATAATTTTTACACAGTCAAAGACTTTAAGAACTTTTCAAATGCAAGTTAAATTAATAATAAGGGACTAAAGTTTCAAAATATATCAGGTAAATACGGTTTTTCAAGCAAACTAGAGATACTTTTAGCTTTTAATAGGTTCCAATCCAAGAACGAGGGCTGTTCAATAAATAATGTCCTAAACTGTATGACATAAAATACAGATATCATTTGACATTAAACTTGACTTTCTCTCATAATTGAATCTTTAATGAATTTATAACAGTTTATGTGACCACTTTTTATAACATAGTTTCATCATGAGAAGATAGTAAACAAGGGCTATTCGACACACTGCATTATAAATGAATGGTAAAGAACCGGTAAACTAGAGTGAAAAAAGAAGCTTCATTAAAGCTGCTGTAAAACTTGTTAAAAATCTTAAAGAAATATTCACTGAAATATATGACATTTACAGCAACCATTGCTTGTTTTATAGACAAATGAGCAGGTGGATTTCAATGATAATGATAAAGAAATATATAAAATGGGTATCAGAAATGTGTACCGTCCTTGCCAACAAAAAATTATAACAACTAGCACTGTTTACTAAATTTCTATAAATAATGCTATATGATGTAGGATTGACTTTAAGACACATAGCAAATTTGATAGACATCACATCGGGGGTAGTTTACACTTTTTTTAAAGAAACGTTTGACGGTAAAAAAGCTTAGTACTCAAAGGTCACTTTATATTTTGAAAAATGAGTGAAAACGACAGCGTGTACGAATGTATTAACATTTTTTTTGAATATCAGTAATTGGGGTTATCCACTTTTTTATATTCCAACAGATAATGGAACTTGAATCTATTGGTTAAAATCCTCAAAACAAAATTTACCATAAGATGTACTTGACTAAAACAGCGATGGTCTGGCGAGAGCAAAGAATTGCAAGAGCACAAAGATAGATTAATATGCAATTTTCTTAAATATTAGTGGAATTGTTGTTCAAATTCGTATTTGGGGTGACAGTCTAATTTCTGGAGGAGTCTAGAATGCAAAGTGTTTACAAAAACAACGAAAGGTTTACTAGAGGAAGGACCCAGAATCAGGAATCCACTACATTACATTTCTTCATGACAGCGTCTAAACACGCACACCCTGAAGAGTAAAGGGCTTTTCGGGATAAACAGATAGTTAATATTTTTTCACATGAACAATTTTCGCCAGATCTTTGACCTTTTGATTTGTTCTTATTTCTAAACTTGAAAATACACCTTTATTAAAGAAAAAACAAGTCCAAGAAATTGGATCTGCCATTTTCCAGTATACTAAAGATCATACCCAAAAATGAGTTCTAAAAAGAATCAGAAATTGGATAAAAAATGTTACGGACATGTTTTTAATTAAAAGAGACTAATAAGTAAAATAATGAAGACTAAATCATTAAAAAGCGTCTTTTGCTTCTTTCCGAGCACCGAGGACATTATTTATTGAACAGCCCTCGTATAGATTTAATCCAAAAATCCGTAAAAACTGTATTTTCTCTCTTAGTAGACGAGCAAAACTTTTTGTTTTGTATTATTTTGTAATCTTTTTATGGCAACTTTACAATATATGAAAATAATAAAGATTTAGATATACAAGGCAAATAAAAAAAACTTATATGTAATAAAACCTTGAGAGAAATATAGAAAATTCCTACTAGTCGATATACATTTCAGTTTAATTAACGTCAATTTAGAATTTATAATCTTATATGCAAGATATGGTAATATCCTTTTAAGCAAAAAGAAAAACATTCACTAATTTTGAAATACAAGTAGTTAGGGATCGTTTGATCGTCAAGAATATTTTATTTAATTCTTAATGTTCCGAAAAAGTAATGATCTTGATCCGATCTTGCTTCTGGTATTAAATGGTGAAACTTAATCCCACTGATACCACAACTTATTGACATTGTCTACTTGATTCTATAAAATTTCATTAATTTTTAAATGCTAGAAATATGAGAAGAATCCTACCTAAAATCAGTGTATAAGCATCACTAGTTGAAATCACAAGATGTTTCCAAAATCAACAGCTTAAAAACGTACGACTTTTCAACTTTATACACACCAATTCCCCACGATAAATTAAAATCCAGGCTTTTTGATATCATTGACAGCTGCTTTTTCAATAAAAATGGAACTCGTAAATTTACTTACCTGGTCATTGGTCACTTGCAAAACTATTTTGTTAAAAAAAGATTCTGATTGTACACACAAGTACTCTGAAGTTGACATAAAAGAAAATGCTTGAGTTTCTGATTGAAAATATTTATGTGGTTTTTGGAGAACTGTTCTTCCAACAATCTATTGGAATTCCCATGGAACCATCCGCGCTCCGTTATTAGCAGACCTATTTTGTATTCATATGAAGCAGAATTTATGCAAAATCTTATGCGTGAATAGAAGCTTAAGAAAACACTTGCTGTGGACTTCAACTCGACCTTCAGATATATCGACGAAGTATTGTCAATTAACAATGTTAATTTCCATTCCTACGTCGATACGATATATCCAGGAGAGCTTGAGATAAAAGATACAACAGAGTCTGACACATCTGTTTTATACTTGGACAATTTACTTAATGGTGTCCTAACAACCAAGTTATATAATAAACGTGACGACTTTCAATTTTCAATCGTCAACTTCCCTTTCTTATGCAGCAATATACCTTTATCACCTGCATACGGAGTGTATATATTTCAGTTGATTCGGTAACGAGGTAAATTATTGACAAGCAAGTTGATGAAACAAGAATATCAGCAGTCTCGTTTAAAGTATTAATTTCGTAAGTTCTATGGTCGATACAATGACCTTGTCAGCAAATACAATTTCATATTGAGTCAAAAGCTGACTGACGTTTTTCATACCAATTGTTAGTCCATTATTTATACACTGAATTGACGACGGATTTTTCCATTATTTTACGATCATGACAATGAGCACACGGCAAATGTGACCAGTCAGCAGGGAATGCTCACTCCTCCATGGCACCTGATCCCACATCTGATGTTTCAGAGGTCTTTGTTTGCTCTGCTCCTATTTTGTATTGTTTTATGGACTTTGATATTGAAAACTGTTCGTTATCTCCATATCCTTCTCGTAATCCTCATTACGTTTTTGTGACAAAATATTTTTTGCCACCAAGCAACCTTAATGCATACCACATTTTTTTTAAAGATTAGGTGCCTCTCTACTGACTTCTCCAGACATGTAAAAGTCCTGAACTTTTCTTAGTGTACATTTATCTATTCGATACTTTCATTTTCCAATGTCTGGTTTCCACCAATGCTGATACTTAGCTCTTCTCCCAATTTTCTATAAATTTTGAATAATGCCAGTTTGCTCTGATTACTATATTTCTTACAAACTGTTGAAGCAACTGTACATCGACGCCGTGGAAATGAAAGGTCGTATGTGGAATTTTGGTATTTTACAGGAGGCAATAAAAACTGTTTTTCAAACAATATATTACACGACTGTGGATCTTAAGTTAAAAGCTGTTTTATTTTCTTTTTAGGACACAAGAAAACACATCTTTAATTTGATTAATGCATGAAAATAGTTAATACAGGCAAATGTTTTGCAGATACGACCTTTAAGTATTTAGCAATACAGATATGAATTGTCGTAACTGCCACTTACGACCTTATTGTTGAAAGATTACGCAATAAAACAACCAGTTTTAGGTCGTAAGTGGCACTTCCGACGTTTCAACATCTTATTAAATCATTCGTTTATAATAGAAATTTTTGTTAAAAATAGATACCAAAAAAATAATTACCCTAAAACACTAGATATAAAAATACAAAACATTTTGAGATTCGCATTTGAGTGGAAACGATCGGAAATTGTAAATGTAAAAATACAATGTACGTTTCTTTTCAAACTTTAGCATGTATTAACATTAAAGGAACGTAGATAAAGAACATAATCAAACTGAAAAATATCAGTATGATAGAAATGGCCCAATTACATCACTGTACTGTGGAATATTTATATGTCATTTCAATGATACAGCAGGCAAAAAAAACCCTGTCCTCTCATCCGCTTCGGGTTTATCTTAAGAATTTGGTTGTAAGAGAGTGCTATCTCTGGTTTTATATGCTACATAATACATTTTGAAACGTTTTGTGAATTCTCTTTTGAAAATGCCCTCTCTTAAAATAATTACAAGTGATGATGCCAATTTGTAACTTTGTTACACAATACGGAAAACACTACAGAACTGCAAATTTCTTTGTTGACAGGCGCAGTTAATTTAAATAATGTATGCAAATAACCTCATGCCATATTTTGCATTTAGATTCATTTATTTACATTGAAATTTCTATGGATTTTTCGTTTTATCCGATCATGACAAGGAGCACATTGCGGGTGTGACCGTTCAACATAGGATTCTTACTCCCCAACGGTACCTGATCCCCCCTCTGATATTTGTTTGGGTTTTTGTTTGCCCTGCTCCCAAATTGTGCAGTTTAAACGGACTTTGAGTTTAGATACTTAAGGAATCACTGTCTAGTTAGGAGAGTATGCCAGGGCATCAACAATAGTGGGAAACATGGGATAATTTGCATAACGGGCGAAGCCCTTTATGCCAAAATTATCCCATGTTTCCCACTATTGTTTATGTCCCTGGCATACTCTCCTAACTAGACAGTGATTCCTTATATTTCCATTTCATCATGTTCATTGTGAAATAAAATTGTAGATTTAGACTTTAAAAATGTAGATTAATAGATTTAAATTACACGAGGACTTCCATGCCAATTTCAATAGTCCTCGCACACTGACGTCAAACCCAAAGGCAGCCGCACGAGATTTACATGCATGTTTGGCCTCTTTAGTGTCAGACACAGAGACAGATGCGCACGAGATTTGCATGCGTATTAGGCCTTCTTAGCTGCTGACCTATCGACCTGCCTAATTTACATTCCAGCAGAATTATCAAGAAATAAACTCCTCCCAACTTTC